GTAGTCAGTCCTCAGCCCCTATTGGCAACCACTGTTCTGATCTCTGGGACTATTGATTAGTTTTGCCTCTTCCTAAGCTTCATTTTAAATGGCATCATACAGTATATACTACTTTGTGTTTGCCTTCTTTCACATAAATCAGGTTTTTGAGATATTTTTTTCTGTGTGGTTATATACATCGTTCATCATTTTTTGTTGCTGAATAGTATTCCATTGTATGAATCCATCATAATTTGTTTATCCATTCTTCTGTTGATGAATATTTTGGTTGTTTCAGTTTGCTACTAATATGAATAAACCTGCTATAAACTTTTTTGTAAAAGTCTTTTTGTGTGTGGACATATGTTTTTACTTCCCTTGGTAAATACTTAGGGATGGAGTTGCTGGGTTATAGGGAGGATTATTTTTAACTTTGTAAGAAACCGCAACCAGAAATGTATGAGATTTCCAGTTGTTCTGCTTCCAACAGTCAGTCTTTTTAATCTTAGCCATTCTAGTGGATGTGATGATATTTCTTTAATTTGCATTTCCCTGATGACTAATGATGTTGAATACCTATTTAGATGCTTTTTGGTCATTGTCTTTTTAAGTCCTTTGCCCATTTCAAGTCTGTTCAACTCTCATGCACACTTTTTATTGCCTATATTTTGTTTTTTTTTATTATTAATCTTTAAGTGTTCTTTCTGTATTGTAGGTACAAATCCTTTGTCAGATACTTGTTTTGCAAATATTGTCTCCCAGTCTGTGTTTCCAGTGTTTGGACCTTCTGTAGTACATTTATAGTACTTCTTTTCAGATTAACAATTAGACCCATTACTTTAAATTTAGAGGTATTTCACTTAAATCCATATTTAAGCATATTATTTGAAAATGTAACTGATATGCTATTTAGAAAGTTTATCTTTGTGGATATCCTATACAATGTTATAATTTTTGCTTTAAATAGTTGTCTTAAATAAAGAGAAGGAATAAAAAATAGTCTTTTATATTTACTCACATATTATTTCTGGTATTCTTCATTCCTTCCTGTAGATCTGAGATTAATCTGGTGTCATCTCCCTTTAACCTGAAGAATTTCCTTTAGCATTGTTTAGTGCAGATTTGATGACGAATTATCTTAGTTTCTGTTTACCTGAAAATATTTTTATTTTATCCTCATTTAAAAAAAGCTTTTTTGAGATACAATAAAGATATGATAACAGTCACCTGTTTTAAGTGTACTGTTCAGTGATTTTTAGTATATTTATGTGCAGTAATCGCCACAGTCTAATTTTATAACCTTATGCCTATGAGTACTCACTCCCTATTACACTCCGCTCTCCCCTGCCCATCACTAGGCAACAGCTGATTTACTTTCTGTGTATAGATTTGCCTCATCTGGACATTTTATATAAATGGAATATACAATACGCGGTTGTCTTTCACTTAGCGTAATGTTTATGAGGTTCATCTGTGTTGTATCATGTATATTTCCTTTTTATTGCTGAATTTGTATTCCATTGTGTGGTATCCCACATTTTATTTATTCATTCATTAATTGACATATGTTGGGTTGCTGCACTGCTTAGTTATTATGAGTAATGCTGCTATGAACATTTGTGTATAAGTTTTTGTGTAGACATATGTTTTCATTTCTCTTGGGTAGATATATAGGGGTAGAACTGCCATCACCCTCACTTTTGAGGAATACTTTTGCTGGATATAGCATTTGAGATTGATTTTGGGCCGTGCTGAGTGGCTTGTGGGAGTTTAGTTCCTTGACGAGGGATTGAACCCGGGCCCTCGGCAGTGAGAGCATGGAGTCCTAACCACTGGACCGCCAGGGAATTCTCATGATTGCTTTTCTTAAAAGCACGTCAAAAAATGTTCTTCCATTTTCTTCTGGCCTCCATTGTTTTTGATGAGAAGTCAGCCATCATACATATTGTTCTACTACCCCTGTATGTAATGTGTTGATTATTTTTTCCCCCTAATGTTGCTTTGTTTCTTTTTATCTCTGGTTTTCAGCAGTTTTATTATGATGTTTTCCTTGTGTTTATCCTCCTTGGAGTTTGCTGAGCTTCCTGGATTTGCAAATTATTATTTTTCACCAAATTTGGGAAATTATCAGCCATTATTTCTTTAAATATTTTTTCTTTCTGATTCTTTTATTTTTCTGGGACCCAATTAAACATATGTTAGACCAGTTATTAGTGTTCCTGAGTTTCCTGAAGCTTTATTCATTTTTTCCCCCTAATTAAAAAGAAAAAAAACCTGTTCTCTAGATAGGATAATTTCTTTTGATCTTTCTTCAAGCTTACTGTACTTTTCTTCTACTGTCTCTAATCTCCTACTGAGCCCATCTAGTTAATTTTAAATTTCAAATATTATAATTTTCAGTCATAACATTTACATTTTAAAGTTTCTCTACTGAGATTCTCCGTTAACTCAGTTATTTTGACCATGTTCCTTTGTCTTTGAATGTGTTTATACTGGCTGCTTTAAAGTCATTGTCTGCTAATTTTCAATATCTGAATTATGGGGGGGTCTGTTTCTATTGACTGCTTTTTTTTCCTCCTTGAAGATAAATCACATTTTTTCTGCTTCTGTAAAAGTCTAGTAATTTTTTTTTTTAACTATACAGTTGACCCTTGAACAAAACAGGGGTTAGGGGTGCTGACCTTCTGTGCAGTCAGAAATTCATGTTTAACTATACATTGGTCCTCCGTATCTGCAGTTCTGCATCTGTGGGTTCAACCAACCATGGATTGTGTAGTACTGTAGTATGTATTTAGTGAAAAAAATCCACATATACGTGCATCTGCATAGTCCAAACCTGTGTTGTTCAGGGGTCAACTTTATATTGGACATTGTGGATGATACATTATAGACACTCTGGATCAGTTGTCTTCATCTGAAGAGTGTTACTTTTTGTTCTAACAGGCAATTAAAATACTGACTGATCACCCTGAAATTGTGGAGATTTGGTTTTATACTTTGTTGGAGTGTGTGGAAATCCCAAGGTGTTTACTAATCTCTGACCTGGTGGAACTCAGATTCCAAAATGCCTTGCAGGGGATAGCAGCTGAAATCTGTTTAGTACTTTTAGCCTTCCAGATATTTTTTTCTGCTGAGGTCCTTGGAATCTCCTTCATGCATGTGCTGTTCAGGGATTAGTCAGGATTTAAGAGAGTTTATATTAGTGTTTGGGGCTCCCTCTTGTGACTTACCCCATTCCAAGATTTCCCCTTCAGTTTCCAGCTGCTCTTGTCATCCTGAACTTCATCCACTGATACCTGAAGCCAGAAAGACTGATTTTTTGCTCAAGTTTTAGCTATTCCACAGGGACTCACTTGGCTGGGAGTGAGAGGTTAGGGGATTCTTCAGGGGAAAAAGCTGTATTAAAGTGGATCTTGCTCATTGTGTTTTCTTTCAAGGGGTAAATGCCCTCCAGTTTCTGCCTGCTTTTCAGCACTCTTTAGTGCTTTAAAATAGTTTTTTTTTCCCCTTTTCTTTCTGGAACTTAAGGTGTTCCTGAATCATCACATCTGAACATACTCTCTTTGTTTTGAAAATTTGCACAGCATGCTGTACCCTTATATAGTTTTTTATGCATGTGATTTTTCTCCTTCCAGTTATCTATTGCTGCATACAGATAACTCTAGAACTTAGTAGTTTAAAACAGCCATTTTATTATGCTTACAGTTCCTGTGGGTCAGGAATTTGGAAAGGGCATACCCAGGATGACATGTGTCCGCTCCATATACCTGGGGCCTCGTCAGGGAAGTCTTAAAATGTGGGAGTAATGCTAATAACTGGAGCAGCAGTCACATCTGGCAGGTGGCGGCTGGGCCGCCACCTGGAACCGTGGGCCAGAACACCTCTACGTGGTCTCCTCACAGCACTGTGGCCTTGGATTTTTTACAAAGCAACTCAGGGCTCTAGTGTTAGTGTTCCAGAGAACCACCTGCAAGCTGCATTGTCTTTTATGATCTAGTCTGAGAAGTTGTATGGCAGAGTTACATAGCATCACTTTCTCTACTTTATCGGTGAACCAGCCTTTATTGTTGACCTAAATTCAAAGGTAGGGACATAGATCCACCTCTCAATTGGAGAAGTGTCAAAGGCTTTGCAGACACTTTATTTTTTTTTTTCCAAATAAAGAATATTTTAATTTTCTTCTTTATGGTCACAGTAACTTTCTGAGTCAGAAATTTGACACACTGTTATTCCCACATGTGAGGTCTTGAGATAGATACTTTTTAGTTATTTGCCCAAGGTCAGCGACAAGTGCAGACCCCTAATTTTCATTCCTGAATGTCTCATTTTCAGTAATACTGAGTTCAATATATGAAAACAAAACAAGGAAAATATATTTCTGTAGTCCACTCTTACCCTTGGTAGAATGGAATCTCCTTAGATACTGTGAGCCCATGACAATATTGAAATGGAAACTTTCCTGTGGCCTTTTCTTTTCTTCATTTTAACATCTTTATTGGAGTATAATTGCTTTACAATGCTGTGTTAGTTTCTGTTGTACAACCAAGAGAATCAACCATATGCATACATATATTCCTATATCCCCTCCCTCTTGAGCCTCCCTCCCCCCGCCATCCCACCACTCTAGCTCGTCGCAAAGCACCGAGCTGATCGCCCTGTGCTGTGCAGCTGCTTCCCACTAGCTAGCTATTTTACGTTTGGTAGTGTATATATGTTGATGCTACTCTCACTTCATCCCAGGTTCCCCCCACCCTGCCCCATGTCCTCAAGTCCATTCTCTATGACAGACATGTTTAAAACCTCCATGCTCATTTAACAAATAGTAAGCTCCTTCTGTGTCCTAGGACAGTCTTATGTATATCTCAATAGATATTCATTGTAGTATTGAATTTTTCTTCTTAACTATAGTAGATTTAGACCTACAGTTAAATTTGTGTTTAAAGCTTTAAGAAAGGAGTAAGATATTTCACTTCTTAAAAACATTTCCTTAGATGGATTTTTTTTTGTCTTTTTATTTGTAGAATATAGTATTTAATGTAAAGTCCATGCTTAAGTGGTGAAAATGGCAGGCTTCCTAGATAATTTCCGTTGGCCAGAATGTGAATGTATCGACTGGAGTGAGAGAAGAAATGCAGTGGCTTCTGTAGTAGCAGGTATATTGGTAAGTGAAAAAGCCTGGTTGGTGACATTTATACCTCACTTTTTCCCTGAAAATTAATCTTGATTCCTTTGAACTGTGAATACCCATGATAATACAGTTTTTGAAGGCAGTAGTTTTTTAAGTAAATTATATAATATGTATCATTCCTTTAGGATCCTCAAAGGCTCAGAATTTGATGTAACTAATAATATTGTTGTGACTCACTGAAATTCAGGATGTGCAGACAGTAGTAACAACCTTAGGCTGCATTAGAACTGAAGCCCTGCAGCCCTTTAGGGAAGGGTTGCCATCTTCATACCCCAGCTGCAGCACAGGCAGGAGGCGAGAGGAAGAAATTTGTGGAGGAAACTACTGCTTAATTTTCTTTCCAATATTTTTTTTTAAACTTTTTACTATTGAAAATATCAATAGTATACACAAAAATAGAGAGAATGGTATAGAGTCCTCTCTCACCCCCTGTACTTATCATTGAGCTTCAAAAAAAAGTCAGATCATGACCAATCTTGCTTTAGCATTCCATCAAGCACTCCCTGCCCCCACTGCACTTTTTGAAGCAAATTTCAGTATATGTTCCACTTAATTTAAATTAATCTTTTCCAGTATATAGTTCTATACCTGAAGTTCAATAGAAAAGATAAATAAAGAAATAAAGTGGAGCAGGAGCTAAAGATATTGGGGTGGCCAAAAAGTTTGTTCAGGTTTTTCCATAACATCTTAGAATTGTGAAGCAGTATGCGTGCAGAATTCTTTTAGGTGTTTCCAAGTTTTTCTTGCTCTCTGTGGTCACCTCGCCTGCACTTAATTTGTCTATGAAATTCCTTAGTAACTTGTCTACTTTAGTTCTATTCAGCTTAGTTTACATAGAAACATTACATTTTGCAAACTCATGTTTAGTCAGTTTTGCAGTGTTTAATCAAATTACATAATTAAAATTATAGCAAGCGTAGATATTTTTTGGAGACATGGCAGCTCATTTGTGGAAGCAAAAGGGCTTGGGCATATTAAAAAAGAATGTTCCACATTCTTTTTAATATGAACGAGAGAGTGAAACACATCAGGTAATCAGGGAGCTGGTTAGTTGGAGGTTAGTTAAGAGAGCTTTGGTTGTATATAATTTTATAGTGGATAAAAGAAGCAGATAATTCATTCCTAGGTAATAAATTTTTCATCTTGCATTAAGAGCAGAACTTGAATCTTACACGGATTTGATTAGATTCACCTCATATGCTATAAAGAATAAGTAAACAAGGGATTCTTGTTTTTTATATTTCAACATCTAAAACTCAAAGTAGACATATTTTATGTTTCAATTATATGGTCCATAGAAAACATGGAATGTTAAGGAACAGTATCATGCTAAGCCAAAGTATTAGTGTTATTTTAATGACATGGGTTCTTTCTCAAGTTTTTTACAGGTTGGTGGATAATGATTGATGCAGCCGTGGTATATCCTAAGCCAGAACAGCTGAACCATGCCTTTCACACATGTGGTGTATTTTCCACATTGGCTTTCTTCATGTAAGTATGAAGGTAATTCTCAATTCAAGATTATTTTTCTAAAAACATTTTTTCCTCAAAGTTTAATGCTATCTGGAATAACTTTTTAATTTCATTGATTGATTCTTCTTTAACATGATAAATATATGTGTGTATATCTATATTGCCATTTTATTATCAAGAATGAGTGTTGAATTTGGGGGGGAGAGATTAATTGGGAGATTGAGACTGACATATACACACTACTATATATAAAATAGATAACTAATAAGAACTTGCTGTATAGCGTAGGGAACTCTACTCAGTACTCTGTAATGGCCTATATGGGAAAAGAATCTAAAAAAAAAAGAGTGGATATATGTATATGTATAACAGATTCATTTTGCTGTACACCTGAAACTAACACAACATTGTAAATCAACTATACTCCAATAAAAATTTTTTTAAAAAAAGTGTTGAATTTAGTCAGATAATTTTATTATACTTTATAAAGATTATCATGTGATTTTTGTCCTTATATTTGTTAAACTGACAAAGTACTATGTTTTATAGACCTTAAGATTTTTTTTGTATTTTAGTATCTTTGAATATCAGTGTGCTTCTTGTAGTCATTGGTATCTTATAATTCATAATATTTTTTCCTTCTTGGCAGTATAAAAAAATAATGGTGCATCTTAAAAATCATTGGCATCTTAGGTTTAATGAAGTATGTTATATTTCTAGATTTTTTAGTAGGAAGTCATCCTTGAATACTCTAATACATTCAACTTTTTTTTAATCCTTTTTAAAATTTATTATTTTTATTGGAGTATAGTTGCTTTACAATATTGTGTTAGTTTATATTGTACAGCAAAGTGAATCAGCTATACGTATACATATATCCTCTCTTTTCCAGATTTCCTTCTCATTTAGGTCACCACAGAGCACTGAGTATCTAATACATTCAACTTTTACCATGGAGTATTATTTTTTTTAAGTGTGTCACTTAACTGTATTTGCCAGTATTGGAGGGAGGGCAGGACTGGCCTTAAATGAGATTGATCTATGACTTTCCTTTTTTATTAAATCATATTTAGGTTTAGCCATTATCTCACTTCATAAAAGAGTTTGGAAGCTTTTCATGGATGTCTTTTTTTTTTTTTTATGGATGTCTTTTAATAATTTTAAAAAATATGTTAAACATTAAGATTACGTAATTTTCTTATACTGTCAGGAGCTTCAAAAAGGTAAATTGTAGAAGATGGAACTAGTTATATTCATTCAGGACGCTTAGAAAAGACAATTCCTGCTACACATGTACCCGCTCTAACAAGAATGGAAAGAGAAGCTGAATAAAGTAGGCCTATTTATTATACCAAATGTTCTCTGAATTTGAGAAATGGATGAGAGAAAATCACTTGACTTTTAACACAAAGAGAAACTTTTGAACTCTTGGTTATAATGAGAACCTTAAAATGGGGTAACTCATGGTGGGTCATTCATGTATAAATATAAAATAAAATAGACAAAGAACTCAGAAAATTGGTCTCTTTCATAATCTTTGGAGACAAGTGATAGTAATCCCTTAAAATTAAGTATGTTTTTGTTTGATGTTATTATAAATGGAAATGTTTTCTTAATTTTGTTTTCAACATATTTATTACCAATATATAGAAAACATTGATATTTTTAAAAAATTAAGTATGTTTTCTGGGTGTACTTTAGGAAAATAAGACTAGCATAGTATTTCTATCCACTAGGGTATTTAAATTAAAAGATAATATTCAGTTATTCAGATGCTGGCTTTAGATAAGAAATGCTTCCCTTCTAAATGATATATAAATATCTCTGAATATTTTAGCAGCATGAAAGCTTATTAGATGATTTTGTATTGTTCTAGGATAAATGCCGTGTCCAATGCTCAGGTGAGAGGTGACAGCTATGAAAGCGGCTGTTTAGGAAGAACAGGTAAGGGCACTTTGAGTTGTTAATGTATGCTGGCAAAAGAGGGATTTACCAGCAGAAAAAACAAAGCCTCTAGTGAGTCTTTATTTAGGGATGATTAATGATTATGTAGGATTTTAAAAAATTTACTTTTAAAAAAAGTTTCTGTGTTATTTAAAACTTTAAGAAAGTTAAAGTTACTGCCAGAGGTTACTGGTTTTTGTCATGTTATATTGCCCATAGTATATAGATAAATGTAACCATGCAAAATCAATGGATCTTGACTGTTCCTGTGTTAATGATGGATTTATTCTTATCCCAAATGTTGGCCAATAGTATTACTTACAAGATGGCTGACCGTGATTACTGAACAGCAAAGTATGGACACATTAAGAGATCAAACCTAGGACTACAGTGTTTTTCACATTCAGTTCTGATCACCTGAGTAACCACCCATAGGCTACAACAGAAGTATTTCGAAGAAACACACTGTTTGTTTACATATACATATTTTTTTGAGTTTGAATTTTTTTTGGTTTGTCATCCAACAGTATTTTCCTTTTGTTCAGATTATAACACATTCTATTAGAATCCAGGGGTTTGTTTTCAGTGGAATTTCCATGCTGTATATAAAAAGCTCAGGACTAGACATTCTATTTCCAGCCTTTAAGGACTAAGAGGGGTGACTTGTGGTTATAGCAGGAATTTGGAGTAGGTGGGGGAGGAAGTTTGAAGGATGGTTAAGAATAATAGCAAGTACTTGTAGAATACTTAGTGTGTACCAAAGACTGTCCTGAATGCTCTACACATATTAACTCAATTAATTGTCACAGTAGTCCTATAAGGTAACCACTCTTGTCCTCAGTTTTAGATTAAGGAACTAAGGCACAGAGAGCTTAAGTAACTTGTCCAAAGTCATAAAGCAAATAAGTGGTGGGACCAGGATTTGAACACTGACAGTCTGGTTCCAGGGCCCATGCTCTTGGCCACCATGCTATGTTTGTATCCAGTCGAGAATCATTTAGTCTCTTTGTCTACAGTATCATATATATATATATATATTTGTCAGTGTATTTGAGGATAACTTATATAAAATATAAAATAAAATTCAATTTAAAGCGTACAGGTCGATGAGCTTTGACAAATGTATACAGTTGTGTAACTGCCACTACAGTCATGATATAGAATATTTCCATTACTCCGGAAAGTTCCCTCATATCTCTTTGTAGTTAATCCCCTTTCCCCCACCTCCTGGCCACCACTCATCTGCTTTCTATCACTGTAGTTTTGCCTTTTCTAGAATCTCATATAAATGGAATCATAAAGTATCATAAGACATTAAACCAAATCAAGGAGCTGACGAGCTTAGCTTTAAAAAAAAATTCTTTTTTTTGTAAGAACACTAAACATGAGATTTCCTTTCAACACAATTTTAAATGCACAATACCATATTGCTAACTATAGGCACAGTGTCGTACAGCAGCTCTCTAGAGCTTATTCATCTTGTGTAGCTGAAACTTTATACTCGTTGAACAGCAACTCCCACTTCCCCCTCTCCTAGCTCCTGGCAACCACTACTGTACCCTCTGTTTCTATGAATTTGACTCTCTTAGATACCTCGCATAAGGGGAATGGGCCTTAAAAAAGAAGGAAATCCTGCCATATGTGACAACAGAGGTGAACCTGTAGGACATTATGCTAAGTGAAATAAGCCAGTTACAGGGGGACAAATTAGCTTTCTTTTGTACCTGACGCTTTAAATGCTGACGCACATTTTATAATTTCACTTCCATTGTGATCCTTGAAGAATTGGAGAGGATGGGAATAGTGATAAATGACAGATGAACCTAAGTTAAAAGTGCATTGTGTGTGTCTGTGCATGCATGTTTACACACACATGCATGCCTTGTGCCCCAGCTTCAGCAGGTAATGTCAGGAATGAGTGAGAATAAAAAAGCATGTATTAGCAAGTGATGTTGTGCATAGAGCACACATTAACGTATTTGATCATTTTTCTTTCAAAAATATTCCACAGGCATTGCTGTGGATTATGTTACTATTATCTATTTTCTGTAGAAAATTTCATTGTAACTTACCCAAAACTTTTTAGCTTAAAGGTAGAACTTGTATGTGCCTTGGGTCTGTCTGGTTCCAAAGCCCATACTTTTTACTCTCAGTAGTGACTATAACATTTTATTCCATGATTATTTCTTACCCAGTTAAAATTCACAGTCAGTTTACGTCAGTTTACATTTATACGTGGTACCTTTAGTGCAAGTTCTGTCTAGTGCTTCAAAAATTCAGGGTAAACTATCTTGTAGGCATGCTCAGCTCTTGCCACACTAAGCTTTCATACTACTTAAATGGTTTGTGTGTAATTTATTCCCATTTAATTCCCAGAGGAATTTGCAGGAAAGTGTTATTAACGTAATAAATATACTACAAATGGAACTGTTAAATAAGAAGGAACAGGAACTAGGTAGAAAGAAGATCATGTATTGATACTTAGACTCTAGGACAAAATGGATACTCTTAATTATTAACCTTGACTCTGAGCTTCCTGGTAGTCAAAGCAAAAGAGGGAAAACGTTACAGTTTTTTATTTTTTCCTAAACAAAAGTGTACTCATTTTTCAAGGGAAGTTTTTTTCTTGTTCAGTTTTGTTAAAAAATTTTTGTGTGGTCATATATAAAGGACATGAAGGAAAATAATTACAAGGATTTTTGATACTTCCTTTCATTCACTTTAGGTAAAAGCTGTGATTGAATTTGGAGGATGTTTTCCTCCAAGGAAGTAAACATTGTTGTATATTTCTGGAGATCTGCTTAGTATTATAATAAAACTTAGATAACCTAGGGACCCATTTCTCTCAAATCTAGCTGTTCTACTCATTCTGAGCTTTGAGCTTCCTGTATATCTGGTGTCTAAAATATATGAATTTCTGTTCAGTTAGTAACAGAATATCTGAAATGGAGGCAAATTTAGCTTTCTATTATGGAAATAGGCTTGGATTTTATTTTCACTTCAGGGGAGCTATATTCCCCTTCCATAGGGTGACAGGCTGTCAATATACTTGTGATCAGGGTCTGGCACAAATGCTAACTTGCTTTCCTAAAAATGTATTGAATCTACTCAGGTGTCCAGATGATCACTTTATTGAGATTCTGTTGTATAACTTCTAAAATTCTATACAGTAGGGGGTTGAAGAGATACTTTTGTCCTTGAACTTTTCAAGGGTATGTGGTACAGTTTGGCTGAATAAGAGAGATTGAATATATGGTTGCTGTTAGTACCATGTTGAGTAGTACCATGATATTAACGTTGATGAAAAGAGGTCATATGGTCCTTATTCATTTGCATTCTCTCATTCCTGTGTGGTAATGGCTATCTGAAATACATTTGCTACTTCTAATAGAGCAATTACTTTGATAATATATTTTTCAGTTAGGGTGTTATTTTTTGTTTGGTTTTTTTTTTTTTTTTTTTTGCGGTACGCGGGCGCCTCAGTGTTGTGGCCTCTCCCGTTGCGGAGCACAGGCTCTGGACGCGCAGGCTCAGCGGCCATGGCTTACGGGCCCAGCCACTCCATGGCATAGTGGGATCCTTCTGGAGCGGGGCACGAACCCGTGTCCCCTGCATCGGCAGGTGGACTCTCAACCACTGCGCCACCAGGGAAGCCCTCGGTTAGGGTTTAATTAATCAGTTTAATCAAATAATTACTTCTGAAGCTTTCCTCCTTTAGTTAACTCAGCTGTTAGTTTCTCTAGCCAGTAGAATGGTAACTTACCCTTTTTCCCTTTCCAAGTATCGCTTAACACCTTTTAGTTTTAGTTTCTTTATTTCAGTCTTCATTCAGTTAAATGTTTTAGCAGGTGTATATAAATACGTGACTGTCTTTGATAGGCATAGCATATATTAGATGAGCAGTGTTCTAGTGTTATGTATTCCTAAGGCATAGAGCTGTAGAAATGAGCAAAATCATAAAACCTGTTTTTCACACAGGTGCTCGAGTTTGGCTCTTCATTGGTTTCATGTTGATGTTTGGGTCACTTATTGCTTCTATGTGGATTCTTTTTGGTGCATATGTTACCCAAAGTAAGTATTTATTCCTCTTTTATTTCATAGGAAAGATTCAGATATGTCCTTTATATTTGGCTTAGTCTGTTAACTCCCCATGGAGTAAAATTTAGTTTAATAATTCAGTTAGCTTGAAGATAAGACTCTGTTTGAAGATATAAATTATTTAATAAAACTTCTCAGTGGGGTCATTTAGTGCAGTGGGATAGCCTCGTTAGGAAATCCAAGCCACTGACAAGACCAGGTAACTCTCAGCTGTCTCTAGAGGTTCTGATTTCCTTCCTTACCCCAGATAGCCAGGCTCTATATGAGAGGCCTTTTACTGAGCATTGTAGTGGTAAAAGTGAGAAATCTGTACAGGGCTACAGCCCCTTATACACAATTCTAAAATCCACAAAAGTGCTGAAGATCAGGTTTTTCATAACCAGTTTGGCAGCAAAACCTGACCTAATGATCCAGGGCTCATTATAGTCTTTATTTCATTTAATAAGTATTCAAATGTTTTATTAGAGGAATGTGGTTGTATTTGATTGTGGGATGCTGGTCCAAACATAGTTGGGGGTGCTATGTAATATTATGCCCTGTGTTACTGTTTTTCTTTTTTTTAATAAATTTATTCATTTATTTATTTTTGGCTGCGTTGGGTCTTTGTTGCTGCACGTGGGCTTCCTCTAGTTGCAGGGTGCGGGGGCTACTCTTCGTTGCGGTGCGCAGGCTTCTCATTGCTGTGGCTTCTCTTGTTGCAGAGCACGGGCTCTAGGTGCGTGGGCTTCAGTAATTGTGGCACATGGGCTCAGTAGTTGTGGCTCGCGGGCTCTAGAGCTCAGGCTCCGTAGTTGTGGCGCGTGGGTTTAGTTGCTCCGCGGCATGTGGGATCTTCCCGGACCAGGGCTCAAACCCGTGTTCCCTGCATTGGCAGGTGGATTCTTAACCACTGAGCCACCAGGGAAGTCCCCCTGTGTTACCATTTTTAAATCTGAAAAATCCTGAGTTCCAAAACATACCTTGCCCCAAGGATTTCAAGGCAAGGCATTGTGGACCCCAGTATCTTTCTGTCCACTGATACATCTTCTCTCAAACCCCAGCCTCTAATTTTTCATTCATAGGTACAAGGGGAGGTTTTTTTTTTTAGGGGGCAGAGGTGCTGAGAATCACTGCCAGTTCACAAGGGAAGTTTTTTAAGTGCAAGACTGAAGACGTGTGTAGCCTTCATGTTGAAACTGGTGATTCAGTGGAGTGAGCTCTTAGTATACCATTCTGAGTTTTGTGACTGTTCCAGTCACCATAGCTTTTCATCACGGGGATGGCGAGAGGTTTTGAAAAGCAGGACCCAGTCTTAGCATGTGCTTCTGGAAGCATCAGAAGAACCTCTTTCACTGGCTCTCTCCCTTCACTCCAAAGACAGGAACAAGTTTCAGATAACAGTTTATTCATCTTCTGATGTCTCTATCTTTGGAATCTCTTCGTCACTCTGCTTAACTGTCACATCTTGTCCTGACCCACAGCTGACCTTTTAATGTCTTGATAGGATCCCTTAAGTATCATAGATTGATCAGTATAAGATTTCGGAATACCTTTGTCTTTCATTTTGCACAAAATAAGTCAGTACAAGAGGACAGTGGTTGCCTAATGTTTAATTAATACTACTCTAAAATGTGTTATTTTAGTTAATTAAAAATACCCTGGAGCACACAGTTCTAGCATGAAGCTTATTTGAGGGAAAGTACTTTTTTTACTTTCTTTCTTTTTTTTGGGGGCTGTGCCACGCAGCTTGGGGGATCTTGGTTCCCCGACCAGAGATGGAACCCGTGCCCTTGGTAGTGAGAGCGCAGAGTCCTAACCACTGGACCCAGGGAATTCCCTCAGTGGTCGTATCTTAATCTTTAAAGAACTAGTACATACTGAGAAATTTCTCAATTATGGATCTCATCTTCATATTTCTACAGCGTTGCTTGTTACATATACTTTTTAGTTTGTAAACTGACTTCAGAGAGCATTTCTAACACATGTTTCAAATCTTTTACTGTACAGATTTTTCTGGAACTGTTAATAATCATAGCAGCAGCTAACATTTATATAGTACTTTATGAGCCAGGAACTGTTCTGAGCACTATGCACAGTCCACATCTCACACTCTGTGGGACAGGTGCTGTTACAATGCCCATTTTAGAGATGAGGAAAGTAAGGCATAATGAGGTTAAATAATTTGCCCATGGTCATACATTTAGTCAGTGGTAGAGTTAGGATTCAAATCCAGGGGTATGGCTCAAACTTGGGGCTTTTAACCATGCAGCTATATTGTTTGCTATGATATCAAAGGCTACAAGTTGAATATTTCTTCATCCCAACTAGTATTTTTAATCAACATTGATAGTTTTATAAAAGTTAAATATCCACAAAAATTTGAGTAATTTCCAAATTTTTCTTTTTCCTTCCTATGAAGATAGTGACTGTTTTCTCCAGGAGAATATGATGAATTATAATGATTCTTTTCATATACGTCAGATTCGTGCAATAAAACTCCTGAATTCATGAAAGAAAATAGAATGAACAGACTGTTACATCATCAAAAATTTAATTTGTATCTTTCTAACATTGTGTGTTTCTGTATTGGCCATAGGAAGTGAAGGGGTGAGCTGCTGCTTCCTCGACAGTTCCGATGCAGCTAGAACCATAGCAACTACTTTAGACGAAAAGAAAACCTAATAATTTCATTGTCTTTTATCCAGAGTGAGAGTAATCCTTTGTTTTGGGAGAATGAGATTGTCATTTTCTTACTTCAATTTCATTGTGGATTTCTTAAAGTTAATGAATAATAGTAGTGTTTTATAATACACAGAGCATGTCATTATGAATGGCATGAATACTTAGTTACTGCCATTTGCCTTTTGTAATTATCTGATCTGTTTTACTTTGTGTGTGCAGATACTGATGTTTATCCAGGACTAGCTGTGTTTTTTCAAAATGCACTTATATTTTTTAGGTAAGTTGCCTAATTTTTTAACTATACACCTATAACATTTATAGAAACATCATCTTTATTATAAGAGCAGCATAGGCACTGGAACATGTATAAATCTCTTGGATTAGTTACAATGTATAGCAATTCTTTTAAAAGATGAAAATTCTATTGCATAAAAGCGTACACAAGCCATTTAATTAGGGGCCCTGCTATGTGCCAAGACCTCAGCTAGATGCTTTATATATGTTACCTTTTAAATTCCCACTTAATTATCTTAAGTATGTAAAACAGGTGGTGCTCCCATTTTATACATGAGGAAATAAGACTCAGAGCTTACTTAAGGCCGCTTAGCTAGCAAACGCAGAACGGGGATTTGAACCCAGACTGCTGCTTCCATAGCCTGTGTTTTGTTAAGAAACCATATCATGTACCTTTAATAAAATAAGAAAAAAAGAAATTAGAATTAATACATACTATGCATGTCGTATACAAAACCTGGTTGGTGAATTGGATTTTGTATTAAGTTTTTAAGATAACTTAAAGCAAGTATACAAATAAAAGAATATCAAAAGTATTTTTTAGGGGCAATCTTCTAAAAAGCTTCCAAAATGAGGCCCTGTAGCCTTTGCTTTCCAGAATGAAATGTCTTTTGGTGTAAAGATAGGTATTTTAGGCGTCATTTATAAAATTATATCCCTTACCCCATACCCCTCTCACAAAAGCATTAAGATCTAAGCCTTGAAGAAATTTGTTTCTGTCATTGATTTTAAGCAATTTGATTATGATGTGCTGTGGTGTAGTTTTCTTCATATTTCTTCTGTCTGGGGTTCATTGAGTTGCTTGGATCTGTGGATTTATAGTTTTCATCAAACTGGGAATCTTTTCAGACATTATTTCTTCAGATATTTTTTTCTGTCCACCCTGCCCTTCTGGCTTCCAATTACATGTATATTAGGCTGTGGGAAGTCATCCCACAGCTCACTGGTGCTTAGTTCTTTTCATGTTTTTTTTTGCCCTACCTCTCCACCCCTACTCTTACCCATCGCTCCATCAAGTATTCTCTTTTCTTGTTTTCTCTCTGTATTTCATTTGGGATAGTTAAAGATTGTTATATCTTTAAGTTCACTAATCTCTACCTCTGTCATGTCTAATCTGCTGTGACTCCCATCCAGTATGTTTTTCATCTTAGACATTGTATTTTTCATCTCTATTAGCTTGATTTTTTAAAAACAATTTCCACGTCTCTCCCTAACATACTTATGCTTTCCTCTGCCTTCTTGAACGTATGAAGTATGTTTATAACTATTTCAGTGGCCTTGTCTAATTGTGTCAATTCTTAGTCTGTTCCTATTGATTATTTCTACTTATTTTTTTCATTCTGGATCTCTTTTCCCCTGTTTGCTTCTTTGCATGAAGCTCATTGGGGGCTGGACTTTGTGGTATTCCTTTAAATGCTTTTGAGCTTTGTTCTGGCTGCAGCTCAGTCACTTGGAAACAGTTCAATCCTTTCAAGTCTTGCTTTTAAGCTTCGTTAGGCAGGACCAAAGCAGCTTTAGTCTGGGATTAATATGTCCCCCTTACTAAGGCAGTACACTTTTGAGTATTCTTCCTGATTCTCCATGTAGTCTGAGGTTTTGCACTCTGCTATGAGATTCTGAAGTCTTCCCAGCCCTGTGGGAGCTTTGGGAATTGTTCTTTCCAGTGATTCCTGCCCTTTTCTTGGGTAGTTTCCTCACATGCATCTGCTGTCAGCACTCGGCAGAAGCCTCAAGGGGAACCCCCTACCGATCTCCTGGGCTCCCCTTCTCTAGTTCTCTGTATCCCGCCTTGCACACTCCAGCCGCTTGGCCTCCCTGAACTCTCAACTCTGTTTCCTCAACTCCGGGAGACCACTGTGCCCTGCCTGGGTTCCCTCTTATTGCACTGTGGCCTTGGACACTCTTGGTTTTGAAAGATGTTCGACAGTTTCTGCTGTCTTGTGATTGTATTTCTTGGCATGTGACTGACAGCCTTCTGGGAATACAGTGAATTTTCATGAAGACACCTTAGGCACTGTTGAGAGATCAAATTTAAATTCAGATTCAGCCATTTATAGTGGTAGAGGAGTCTATATAAATGACAGTTGGATGAACAGAAACCTTGTATGTGTAAAGGCCTGTGCTCACGTGGGCAGTGACCACTGCATCAGCGATGCGCTATGCCCAGAGGGTGGCAAGTTTTCCAGCCAGCTGTGTGCTTCCTGTGTGCCAGGCCTTTTCTAAGCACCAGAGTGCACTCCTACTTCTCCGGCCACTCTTCCTCTGTTTCCTTTGCAGGCTGATCCTCCACCCTCTGGCCGCTAACTTTTGAAGTTTCTTAAGGTTCTGTTCTAAGCCTCTTCTCAACTCGTTCTTTCTCTAGGTGAGGTCCTTTTTGCTTGGGACTTCAGTTATTGCCTATATGCCAGTGAGTCACAGCTGTCTATCTCCACGTCTAAACCACATATCCAGATTCTCACTTATCCCCTCTTGGGTGGCTGACATTTCAAATCTACCACCTCCAGCATACCCACAACTCAAACTCACGTTGCCAGAGTATCCCATCTCTCTGCCCCACTCCTTCCGTTATACCTTGCTGAGATAATTCCCACTCTTCTTTTAGATCTCAGTTCAGTCACTACTTCCTCAGGAAAACCTTTTTGACCTCTAACTAGATCAGATCCTTATATTTCCCTCTCTTGGTACCATGTGTGTCATTGAGTTGGAATTTGATTGTCTCCCATTAGTGAGCACATTTGTCTTGTTTTGACTCACAGTCACATTCCCAGTGCTTAACTAGGTGCCTGGTGCCCAGCCAGTACTCTGTACAGTAATTATTTGTTAAATGAACGAAGAATTTCAACATGGTCTGTTAGGATGCTTCAGTGTTTGTAGCTCAGACATTGTAGGATCGTAGAGATGTGAGTGGCCCTCATGCCGGCTACTATGAGAAATGCCCCCTTTCCTTACAAGTGACCTATCTAGTAACTTCAGGCTTTAAGAAAAGATATTCAATTAAGCTCAACCATCAAGGTCAACAAACTGCTTTATAAAACAAGCAAATTCAGACCAACACCACCACAATCTTTAATTTTAGAAATTGATACAAAGGGATCAGTGAGGGACCCATCAAAGCATATTTAGAAAATAAATTCTCTTCTGCGTTTCTATGTGATCTTACCTCATGATTTATTTTAATATCTTTCTAGCACTCTGATCTATAAATTTGGAAGAACTGAAGAGCTATGGACCTGAGATCACTTCTCAAATCACATTTTCCTTTTGTTATATTCTATTTGTAGATAAGTTTTTATCTCTCAATATAATTTACACATTGCCAAATGGAATAGATTGTACATTAAATGTTTTGTTCCTTTACACTTTTATGCTCTGAGTTTTGAAATAGTTTTATGAAATTTCTGTCCTTTTTTTTTTCATTGAATAGATTGTTAATATGTACATAGTATAAGACTATATAGATGAGATGATCTGTGTCGGTTTTTTTATTCTTGAAGACTTAAAGCTTAATCTGTTCCATGAGCCAGGGTTGTATCATCATCTAATTGTAAAGTTAACTACTTTGTCTCAGTATCTCTAATTTTCAAAATGTGCAAAAAATACAGCTCCATATACCTGAAATAAGCGCTGAGCCATTAAAAAAGGTATTTCAGCAAGTTGTAATTTATTTTGGCTTAAAAATGAGATTTCTTTTTAAAGGAAAAATGTTTGTTCTTATGTATAAAGTGGACTTTTATATGAAGATTTTTTAAAATGCCTGAAGGACTAGTTTGAAAGCCTCTTTTAAAAACAATTCCTCTCATATGACTTTATTTCAGAAGGGTTAATACATGATCAGATAAGCTCAGTTTTATATTGTTGATGTAAAAAGACTGTAAGGCAGGTTCAGCAACGTGCTTCTTACAAAAGCAGCTTAAATGGTTCTCTTTTGACAGCCTACTATTATCTGACATTACAAAATTCTATATCAAGCAAGTTTGAGACAACTGCAGCTTAAAAGCATGAACCATATAACAAAAAGTGGAATAATTAGTTTCAAGATAAAGCACTTCTTCCCAAAGGGGATTATTATGACCTAGTGAAAAATTAGGCGTTTCATCCACTCAGTTACTGACTGCAAGTGTCTTTTTGCTCTAGCTCTCAAGCTTTAGGTGAACTCTTCTTGCAGAATACGTCTTTAACCTGAAAGTTCTTACTCCAGTCAAAAACTTCTTTTGCTGGGTTTGAAATACTGTATTTGCACTGAGTGTATTCCCGTGAGAGATTTCAGAGGGATAGTTGGGTCTTTATTTCTACTTTTGCTTTCCTTTGTTATACAGGTTTTTTTTTTGTGTTGCACTTTTTTCCTCCAGAGGGATTTTTCTAGAGCCTTTTGTTGTAAGACAGAATAATATCAGTGGTATTATATGCAGCTTCTAATATAAGCCTTATTTTGCTTAATGTCTCTCCTCTCTGAGGATTTACTGTGCACAGAGTATGAAGCAGTTGTGGAATGCTGTGCCTTTGTCTAGATACCATCTTGTTTAATTCTTTCTTTGTTGTTTTTTCCTCAAAAAAACTGTATCTTGCTTCCAACAAATTTTAAGACTGATTACTTGTTTCCACTCCCTTCTAACCTCTTGCAATAAATATTACTTCTCACACATTGTAGTATTGTTAAATCTGTTGGAGAAAATGAACTATAAAACTGGGTTGGCTGTTCATTTTGCAGTTACTCAAGTGGACCTGGTCAAAGAAGCAGTTTCCTTTTATAAAATAAAGAGAAATATATATATATATTTGGGGGGGGCCGGTGGAGCATGCCATGCGGCTTGTGGGATCCTAGCTCCCTGACCAGGGATCGAACCTGGGCCCTCAGCAGTGAAAGCACGGAGTCCTAACCACTGGACCAGCAGGAAATTTCCAGGAGAACTATATTATACTCAGATTTGTGAAATGCTAATGTGAAGGCTAATGAAGGCCATCCAGAAGGCCTAGTGGCAGTTTTTTCTGTTTTTGACTCTGTCACGAATTTGTTTTAATTGTGAGCAAATCACTTAATTTCCTGTTTGTTTCCTCATTAAAAAAAAAAAAGATAATGTTAGTATCCACTCCTATCAGACATTGTGAGTTAGAATAGGGTCCTTTGTAATCATTTAAAGATACATGTGATTCCCTTAATATAAAGGTCTCCTGGAGCAGAGTCAAGATGGCAGTGTGGGAAGATGCCGAATTAGCGTCTCCCCACAACTAGGGTGCCTGCCGGCTGCTGATGGGGGACCCTGATGCCCAAGGAGATGGGAGGAACCCCCAAGTGAACCGATAGGGACGTGGGGGCAGAAGGGGGAGGAGAAGTGGAGGCCAGACAGGATCCACGCCCCTGAGGCTGGGGAGTTCAGGAGAGGTAGGCATGAGGGACCCTCTGGGAGGAGTGGAGGGCATTTGCCCCACCCACTCAGGCCCTGGGAGCCCGCTGAGCTCCCAGGCCAGTCCCCTGCCCTCCAAAGCCCCCTCCACTCCCCTGCCACATTGGTCCTGGGAGCATAGGAAGGAGGCTGGGGGATCAGGAGAGGCAGGTGGGAGGAGCCCTCCAGGAGGACCAGGAGAGGAACGGAGGGTGTTTTCCCCACCCACTCAGGTCCGGGGAGCCTGATGAGCTCCCAGGCTGGTCCCTGCCCTCCAAGCCCCCGCCCCCCCACCGTTCCCCCTGGCCACATTGGTCCTGGGGGCATAGGAAGGAGGCCGAGGGGAGTTAAGGAGAGGCAGGGGGGAGGGGCGCTCCAGGAGGAGCAGGAGAGGAGCAGAGGGCGATTGCCCTGCCCACTTGTGCCCAGAAAGCTTGCTGGGCTCCCAGGTGAGGTCTCCCGCCATCTGAGACCAGGGGTGGGGGGCACGCCTGGGCCCCTTCTGTTCCTTGAGCCTAAGCCCCACCCCACCCCCAGCCCCCAGGGCCTTTTCCAGCCCTGTGGGTCCTGAGCATTGGCCCTGCCACCGCAGAAACCTCACCCTTGCTTATGCCCTGGCCTCCACAGCCAAGGCCTTTACCCCGTTTGTTTTTTTTTTTTTCTTTTCCCTCCTCTTTTTTACTATTGTAGTACTGATATACCTTCCGGTTGTTGATTCGTCATATTTTTATTTTTATATTCTTCCTAAAATATCTGTTAGTTTCCTAGTCTATTTTATTTTTTACTTCATTTTTTTTTTGCTGCCCCAGGTGGCTTGCAGGATGTTGGTTCACGAGCCCAGGGTCAGGCCTAAGCTCCTGCAGTGGGAGCTCCGAGTCCAAACCACTGGACTAACAGAGAACCTCAGACCCGAGGGAATATTCATTGGAGTGAGGTCTCATGGAGTTCCTCATCTCAGCACCAAGACCCAGCTCTACCCAATAGCCTACAATCCCCAGTGTTGGAAGCCTCAGGCCAAACAACCAGTAAGACAGGAACACAATCCCACACATTAAAAACAAAATTGAGGGCTTCCCTGGTGGCACAGTGGTTGAGAATCTGCCTGCTAATGCAGGGGACACGGGTTCGAGCCCTGGTCTGGGAAGATCCCATGTGCCGTGGAGCAACTAGGCCCGTGAGCCACAACTACTGAGCCTGCGCGTCTGGAGCCTGTGCTTCTCAACAAGAGAGGCTGCGATAGTGAGAGGCCCGCGCACCGCGATGAAGAGTGGCGCCCGCTTGCCACAACTAGAGAAAGCCCTCGCACAGAAACGAAGACCCAACACAGCAAAAAAATTAATAAACTCCTACCCCCAACATCTTTAAAAAATAAATAAATAAATTGAGATGGCAAAAGTGTCACAGATGAAGGAGCAAGGTAAAAACCTACAAGACCAAATAAATGAAGAGGAAATAGTCAATCTACCTGAAAAAGAATTCAGAGTAATGATAGTAAAGATGATCCAGAATCTTGGAAATAGAATGGAAGTGTGGATTGAGAAAATAAAAGAAATGTTTAACAAAGATCTAGAAGAACTAAAGAACAAACAAACAGAGATGAACAACACAATAACTGAAATGAAAAATACACTAGAAGGAATCAATAACAGAATAACGGAGGCAGAACGAATAAGTGAGCCAGAAGACAAAATGGTGGAAATAACTGCTGAGGAGAAAAATAAAGAAAAAAGAATGAAAAGAATTGAAGACAATCTCAGAAACCTCTGGGACAACACTAAATGCACCAACATTCGAATTATAGGGGTCCCAGAAGAAGAGAAAAAGAAAGGGTCTGAGAAAATATTTGAAGAGATTATAGTGGAAAACTTCCCTAATATGGGTAAGGAAATACCCAAGTCCAGGAAGCACAGAGAGTCCCATACAGGATAAACCCCAGGAAAAACACACCAAGACACATGTTAATCAAACTAACAAAAATTAAATTCAAAGAAAATATATTAAAAGCAGCAAGGGAAAAACAAAAAATAACACACAAAGGAATCCCCATAAGGTTATCAGCTGATTTTTCAGTGGAAACTCTGCAGGCCAGAAGGGAGTGGCAGGTTATACTTGATGAAAGAGGAAAACCTACAACCAAGATTACTCTACCCAGCAAGGATCTCATTCAGATTCAACAGAGTAGTCAAAAGCTTTTCAAAGAAAAGCTAAGAGAATTCAGCACCACCAAACAACTTTACAACAAATGCTAAAGAAATTTCTCTAAGTGGGAAACACAAGAAAAAGACCCACAAAAACAAACCCAAAACAATTAAGAAAATAGTAATAGGAACATACATATTGATAATAACTTTGAATGTAAGTGGATTAAATGCCCCAACCAAAAGACACAGACTGGCTGAATGGATACAAAAACAAGACCCATATATATGCTGTCTACAAGAGACCCACTTCAGACCTAGGGACACATATAGACTGAAAGTGAAGGGACGGAAAAAGATATTCCATGCAAATGGAAATAAAAAGAAAGTTGGAGTAGCAATACTTGTATCAGATAAAATAGACTTTAAAGACTGTTACAAGAGATAAGGAGGGACACTACATAATGATCAAAGGATCAATCCAAGAAGAAGATATAACAATTATAAATGTTTATGTACCCAACATAGGAGCACCTCAATACATAAGGTAAATGCTAACAGCCATGAAACCACTTACACCAATAGACAGATCATCCAAACAGAAAATATATAAGGAAACACAAGCTTTAAATGACACAATAGACCAGATCTAATTGGTATTTGTAGAACATTCCACCCAAAAGTGGCAGAATACACTTTCTTCTCAAGTGCACACGGAACATTCTCCAGGATAGATCATATCTTGGGTCACAAATCAAGCCTCAGAAAATTTAAGAAAATTGTATTAAGCATCTTTTCTGACCACAACACTATGAGATTGGAAATCAATTACAGGAAACAAACTGTAAAAAACACAATACATGGAGGCTAAACAGTGCACTACTAAATAACCAAGAGATCAGTGAAGAAATCAAGGAAGAAATTAAAAAATACATAGAAACAAATGACAATGAAAACACGATGACCCAAAACCTATGGGAAGCAGCAAAAGCAGTTCTAAGAGGGAAGTTTATAGCAATTCAATCTCACCTCAAGAAACAAGAAAAATCTCAAATAAACAATCTAACTCTACACTTAAAACAACTAGAGAAAGAAGAACAAAGAAAACCCAAAGTCACTAGAGGGAAAGAAATCATAAAGATCAGAGCAGAAATAAATGAAATAGAAATGAAGAAAACAGCAAAGATTAATAAAACTAAAAGCTGGTTCTTTGAGAAGATAAGCAAAATTGATAAACCCTTAGCCAGACTCATCAAGAAAAAAAGGGAGAGGATGCAAATCAATAAAATTAGAAATGAAAAAGGAGAAATCACAACTGACATTGCAGAAATACAATGGATTATAAGAGACTACTACAAACAACTATATGCCAATAAAATGGACAGCCACAAAGAAATGGACAAATTCTTGGAAAGGTACAATGTTCCAAGACTGAACCAGGAAGAATTAGAAAATATAAACAGGCCTATCACAAGTAATGAAATTGAAACCATAATTAAAAATCTTCCAACAAACAAAAGTCCAGGGCCAGATGGTTTCATAGGTGAATTCTATCAAACGTTTAGAGAAGAGCTAACACCAATCCTTCTCAAACTCTTCCAAAAAAATTGCAGAGGGAGAAACACTCCCAAATTCATTCTACGAAGCCACCATCACCCTGATACCAAAACCAGAAAAAGATATCACAAAAAAAGAAAATTATAGACCAATACCACTGCTGAACATAGATGCAAAAATCCTGAACAAAATCCTGAACTAGCAAACAGAATCCAACAGCACATTAAAAGGATCATACACCATGATCTAGTGGGATTTACCCCCGGGATGCAAGGATTCTTCAGTATACTCAAATCAATCAATGTGATACACCACAGTAACAAATTAAGGAATAAAAACCATATGATCATCACAGTAGATGCAGAAAAAGCTTTTGACAAAACTCAACACCCATTTATGATAAAAAACTCTCCAGAAAATGGGCATAGAGGGAACCTACCTCAACATTATAAAGGCCATATACGACAAACCCACAGCAAGCATCATACTCAATGGTGAAAAACTGAAAGCATTTCCTCTAAGATCAGGAACAAGACAAGGATGTCCACTCTCACCACTCTTATT